ATGTTAGGCGCTTGGCGAGGATCTGGACCAGACGGCTCTCATTTCGAAGCGGCCGCAAAGAAGCCCGGGAGGACAGCACATTGGAGAGAAGCTCTGCAACTCTTCTGCGAGGCATCTAACAAACGTGTCAAGCACAGCCTGGGCTACTACTGTAGCACTATAAGCGCATGTCGAAAAGGACAGCAGTGGCAACGGGCGTTATCTCTTCTCAGCGAGTTGGTTGCATCGACTGTTGAGGCCAACGTCATCAGCTACAACGCTGGGATCAGCGCTTGCGAGAAAGGTCAGCAGTGGCAGCAGGCTCTGGCGCTGCTTAGCCAGATGGTCGAGACGAAACTGGAGCCCACTGTCATCAGCTACACTGCTGTGATCAGCGCTTGCGGGAAAGGTCAGCAGTGGAAGCAGGCTCTGGCGCTGCTTAGCCAGATGGTCGAAACGAAACTGGAGCCCGATACCATTATCTACAGTGCTGGGATCAGCGCTTGCGAGAAAGGTCAGCAGTGGCAGCAGGCTCTGGCGCTGCTTGGCCAGATGGTCGAGACGAAACTGGAGCCCGATACCATTATCTACAGTGCTGGGATCAGCGCGTGCGAGAAAGGTCAGCAGTGGCAGCAGGCTCTGGCGCTGGTTCGCCAGGTGGTCGAGACGAAACTGGAGCCCGATACCATTATCTACAGTGCTGGGATCAGCGCTTGCGAGAAAGGTCAGCAGTGGCAGCAGGCTCTGGCGCTGCTTAGCCAGATGGTCGAGACGAAACTGGAGCCCACTGTCATCAGCTACAATGCTGGGATCAGCGCTTGCGGGAAAGGTCAGCAGTGGCAGCAGGCTCTGGCGCTGTTTAGCCAGATGGTCGAGACGAAACTGGAGCCCGATACCATTATCTACAGTGTTGGGATCAGCGCTTGCGAGAAAGGTCAGCAGTGGCAGCAGGCTCTGGCGCTGCTTAGCCAGATGGTCGAGACGAAATTGGAGCCCGATACCATTATCTACAGTGCTGGGATCAGCGCTTGCGAGAAAGGTCAGCAGTGGCAGCAGGCTCTGGCGCTGCTTAGCCAGATGGTCGAGACGAAACTGGAGCCCACTGTCATCAGCTACAATGCTGGGATCAGCTCTTGCGGGAAAGGTCAGCAGTGGAAGCAGGCTCTGGCGCTGTTTAGCCAGATGGTCGAGACGAAACTGGAGCCCACTGTCATCAGCTACAGTGCTGGGATCAGCGCTTGCGGGAAAGGTCAGCAGTGGAAGCAGGCTCTGGCGCTGCTTAGCCAGATGGTCGAGACGAAACTGGAGCCCGATACCATTATCTACAGTGCTGGGATCAGCGCTTGCGAGAAAGGTCAGCAGTGGCAGCAGGCTCTGGCGCTGCTTAGCCAGATGGTCGAGACGAAACTGGAGCCCACCGTCATCAGCTACAATGCTGGGATCAGCGCTTGCGGGAAAGGTCAGCAGTGGCAGCAGGCTCTGGCGCTGTTTAGCCAGATGGTCGAGACGAAACTGGAGCCCACTGTCATCTCTACTACATTGCAGGGCCCAGTGCGTGCCAGAAGGGCGCAGGCTCCATTAACTCATAATCGCCCCGGGCTGGCCCCGGGCCGCCCCGGGAGGCCCCAAGACACGCCAAGGGGGCCCCAAGAGGCCCCCAAGACGGCCCCGGAGGGCCCCGGCACGCCCAGCGAGGGGCCCAAGACGCTCGAGATTGGCCCAAGACGGCTCCAGAGGCCTCCAAGACGCCCCAAGAGGCCTCCCAAGAGGCGCCCCAAGAGGGCCCCGAGCGGCAGAAACCGTCGATTTCCATTGTGTTTTTCTATGTTTTCGGCCTCCTCGCCTTTTCGGCTTCCCGACGCTCCAAGACGGCCCAAGACGTCCCCCAGACCGCTCCAAGACGGCCGAAGAGGACCCCAAGAGAGCCCCAAGACGGGCCAAGAGGGCCCCAAGACGGCCCCAAGACGGCCCAGGACGGCCCCAGGACGGCCCAGGAGGCGCCCAAGACGGCCCAAGAGGCACCCAAGACGGCCCCAGGAGCGGCCCAAGACGGCCCACGACAGCCCAAGAGGCGTCGAGGCGGGTCTCAGACGGCCCCGAGACGGCCCAAGAGGCACCCAAGACGGCCCAAGAGGGCCCTAAGAGCCCCCCCGGGAGGCCCAAAAGAAGGCCGAAGAGGCTCCGAAACGGCCCCCACGAAGCCTTCAGTGCCTTCAGAATTCCCTCCAGGAGCGGGGGAGCGGACGAGAGGCGACAGGCATATCGCAGGCAAAAACGCCCCAAGAGATCCCCAAACGGCCCCCACGAAGCCCTAAGTGGCCTCAGAATTGCTTCCAGGAGGGGGGGAGCGGACGAGAGGCGACCGGCATATCGAAGGCACAAAAGAACAATGTTGGACGCTCCGAGGGCCTTCGATGTTTCTCCGTTGGGGAGAGTCGTCGTAGGATCGACGATTGCCCACCGAGGGCAGCGAATCCAGTGGAAACCCAAGAGGCCCCCAGGAGCCCAAAAGAGATCCCCAAGAGGTGCCACGGGGCTTACAAACTGCTTCGAAGCGAGGGGGGCGGACGAGGGGACCGCCTCAGGAGGTTTTGGACGGTTTTGGGCCTCAAGATCGTCCGCTTTACGACGGTTTTGTAAGGATTTTGGCCTTCTCGCCTTTTCCGCTTTCCGACGCTCGAAGACGGCCCCAGAGGCCTCCAAGAGCGCCCCAGAACGGCCCAAGAGGTTTCCAAGAGCGCCCCAAGACAGCCCAAGAGGGCCCCAAGACGACCCAAGAGACGCTCAAGACGGCCCACGAGGGCCCGAAGACAGGCCCAAGAGGGGGCCAAGAGGGGGACCACGGACCGAAAATCCGAGCCTTCCGCCCCAAGAGGGCGCCAGGAGGCCCAAACAGGCCCCCAAGAGGCCCCAAGGGGCCGCCAAGAATCCCCCGAAGAGGCCCCAGGAGGTTCCCAAGGAGCCCAAACGAGGACCGGCCTCCTCACGGTCCCAGACGGCTCCAAGACAGCCCCACGAGGACCCCGATGGGCCCAGGACGGCCTACGGACGCGCCCATGAGGGGCCCACGCCGAACCAAGACGGCCCCATCAGGGCAAACGGCGCCCTCAAGACGGGCCTAGACGGCTCCAAGACGGCCCTTTGAGGGAGCCAACGCGGCCCCACACCCTTCGGGCGCACACTTGGGGGGGCTGGGAGCTTGCGACAAGTCTCCCACATTCATTGTCCTGCCCCATTCTGTTCGCCTGGAGGCCTCCTCCAACCCTGTGGGCGAACAAGAGGAATCCCAGCGGGACGCCAACCCTGGGGCCCGTGGGCCCCGCGCCGCTTGGGCAGAAGACGAACGCCGGGTCTGACAGGCCAGCTACCGCCCCCCTTTGCCCGATATGCTGTGCCATTCTGTTCCCCCAGGGGCCTTGGCAAACTCTTCGGGCCAAGCAGACCGGACCCCTGGGACAGCAGCCAATTGATATGACCCTGGGACCTCTCCGCATTCTTCGGACGAGCATCTGGGGGGCCCAGGAGATTCGGACATGTCTTCCCCATTCCTTGCCCTGTCCCGTTCTGTTCGCCCGAAGGCCTCCACAGACCCTCTGGGCGAACAGAATGGGACATGGCGAACAAACCCTCCCGTTGGCGGTGATGCGACTGGATCGCACCATCAAGGCGCGCCCGGAGGTGATGGCCGACCCAACAGCGGTTTCTCTTAAGAGTTCACTGGATTTCAAATTTTCTTGAAGCTCTCTTGGGCCCTCCCTGTAGATCCTTGCGAGCCTCCCCGGCGCTTTCGGTGGCTTTCCCCGATGGCCTCCCGAGCCCTTCCCCGAGCGCTCCTGAGACGCCTCAGATGGGCTTCGACTTCGACGCACATCCCCGAGAGACTTCGAAACTGTCCTCAATAGGAGGGGGGTGAACGAGCAGTGCGCTGGGCCAAGCTGCTGCAGCGCTGCAAGAGCTCGGACACGAAGGCGCGGTCTCGCTGCCGCCGCCCGAGCCGCCGCCGTGTTTGTAGATTTTCGGTACAATCTGCGCCGTTCCTCCGAGAACCATTCCAGAAAGATGTCGTGGACGGAGTCCACGGGTCAGCCCTAGTCTCTACTACATTGCAGGGCCCAGTGCGTGCCAGAATGGCGCAGGCTCCAATGCACCAAAACCGCCCCGGGCTGGCCCCGGGCCGCCCCGGGCCGCCCAGGCAGGCCCCGGGCTGCTCCAGGACATGTCGAGAGGGCCCCCAGAAGCCCCCAAGACGGCCCCGGAGAGCCCCGGCACGCTTAAAGATGGGCCCAAGACGCCCGAGATTCGCCCCAGACGGCCCAAGAGGCGTCCAAGACGCCCGAAGAGGCCTCCCAAGAGGCCTCCCAAGAGGGCCCCGAGCGACAGAAATCGTCGATTTCTATTGTGTTTTTCGATGTTTTCGGCCTCCTCGCCTCTTCGGCTTCCCGACGCTCCAAGACGGCCCAAGAAGTCCCCCCGACCGCTCCAAGACGGCCGAAGAGGACCCCAAGAGAGCCCCAAGACGGGCCAGGAGGGCCCCAAGACGGTCCCAAGACGCCCCAGGACGGCCCCAGGACGGCCCAGGAGGCGCCCAAGACGGCCCAAGAGGCACCCAAGACGGCCCCAGGAGCGGCCCAAGACGGCCCAAGACAGCCCAAGAGGCGCCGAGGCGGGCCTCAGACGGCCCCAAGACGGCCCAAGAGGCACCCAAGACGGCCCGAGAGGGCCCTAAGAGCCCCCCCGGGAGGCCCAAAAGAAGGCCGAAGAGGCTCCGAAACGGCCCCCACGAAGCCTTCAGTGGCTTCAGAATTCCCTCCAGGAGCGGGGGAGCGGACGAGAGGCGACAGGCACGCCGCGCTTGCCCAGAGACCCCTCGCCACGTCGAGCTGATGTCGTGGACGGAGTCCACAGGTCTGCCCTAGTCAGCTACACTGCTGTGATCAGCGCTTGCGGGAAAGGTCAGCAGTGGAAGCAGGCTCTGGCGCTGCTTAGCCAGATGGTCGAGACGAAACTGGAGCCTGATACCATTATCTACAGTGCTGGGATCAGCGCTTGCGAGAAAGGTCAGCAGTGGCAGCAGGCTCTGGCGCTGCTTAGCCAGATGGTCGAGACGAAACTGGAGCCCGATACCATTATCTACAGTGCTGGGATCAGCGCTTGTGAGAAAGGTCAGCAGTGGCAGCAGGCTCTGGCGCTGCTTAGCCAGATGGTCGAGACGAAACTGGAGCCCACTGCCATCAACTACCACGCTGGGATCAGCGCGTGCGAGAAAGGTCAGCAGTGGAAGCAGGCTCTGGCGCTGCTTAGCCACATGGTCGAGACGAAACTGGAGCCCACCGTCATCAGCTACAGTGCTGGGATCAGCGCTTGCGAGAAAGGTCAGCAGTGGCAGCAGGCTCTGGCGCTGCTTAGCCAGATGGTCGAGACGAAACTGAAGCCCGATACCATTATCTACAGGGCTGGGATCAGCGCTTGCGAGAAAGGTCAGCAGTGGCAGCAGGCTCTGGCGCTGCTTAGCCAGATGGTCGAGACGAAACTGAAGCCCGATACCATTATCTACAGTGCTGGGATCAGCGCTTGCGGGAATGGTCAGCAGTGGCAGCAGGCTCTGGCGCTGCTTAGCCAGATGGTCGAGACGAAACTGGAGCCCGATACCATTATCTACAGTGCTGGGATCAGCGCTTGCGAGAAAGGTCAGCAGTGGCAGCAGGCTCTGGCGCTGCTTAGCCAGATGGTCGAGACGAAACTGGAGCCCGATACCATTATCTACAGTGCTGGGATCAGCGCTTGCGAGAAAGGTCAGCAGTGGCAGCAGGCTCTGGCGCTGCTTAGCCAGATGGTCGAGACGAAACTGGAGCCCGATACCATTATCTACAGTGCTGGGATCAGCGCTTGCGAGAAAGGTCAGCAGTGGCAACAGGCTCTGGCGCTGCTTAGCCAGATGGTCGAGACGAAACTGGAGCCCACTCTCATCTCTACTACAATGCAGCGTTCACCGCTCGCCTAAATGGTTAAGCAGTGGCCGCGGGCCGGCCCCTCCGGAGCCCTCCCCGGGCGCCCCAGCAAGCTCTGGTCGACTCCAGCGCGGCTCCGAGGCTGCCCCAGGCCGCTCCGAGACGCTCCGAGATGCCTCCCCGGAGGCGCCCTGGAAGCTCAGCAGCCTCCCCCTCGTGCCCACGATGGCCCAAGACACTCCAACACGCGCCGGCAGGAGCGTCTGAGGAAGGGAAAAAGAGGCATTTCCTCGGGAAAACGAGCCACGTTCAAGTTCCTGCTGACGAGGTTCCCTGCCAGCTCCTGGTGCGTGGTTCTCCCCGCGTCCTCGCGTTCTTTTCGGTTGCCTCGGGCCCCCTGTCCGGCCCTTCTGGCGCGGCCCTCTTCCGGCCCTCCGCCGGGAGGACCTTCCCAAAGGAGCCCAAGAAGATCTCAGACGCTTCGAAGAGAGCCCGAGAGAGGCCTGGGAAGGCCCCACCAGGGTCTGGGCACTGTTCGTTTTGAGCGCCCCTCAAAACGAACACCTGGAAGCTCTGTTTTGTTCCGTCCTGGCGCCCTCGAGGCCCCTCCCGAGACGGCCTTGACACCGCGAGGGGCCCCCCAAAGGAGCCCAAGAAGATCTCAGGAACTTCGAAGAGAGCCCCGAGAGAGGCCTAGGAAGACCCCGCGAGAGGCCGCGCTCTGTTCGTTTTGAGCGCCCCTCCAAACGAACACCACGAAGCTTTTTTTGGTTCCGTCCTGGCGCCCTCGAGGCCCTTACCGAGACGGCCTTGAACCCGCGAGGAGCTTCCCAAAGGAGCCCAAAAAGATCTCAGGAACTTCGAAGACAGCCCCGAGAGACGCCTAGGAAGACCCCGCGAGACTGGGCCCTGCCGACGCCTTCGACGCAACCGCATTTTTTGACGCCTTGCTGAAGGGTGTTGTCGCGCTGCGTTCCAACGCTGCAGAGGAACAGGCGGGAGAACCCGAAGGAGAGGAGAATGAAGAGGAATATGAGGGACAGGATGAGGGGGACGAGGATGATCAGGAGGGCAGTGAGAAGGATGAGGGAGATGAGGAGGAGGAGGAGGAGGAGGAGGAGGAGGAGGAGGAGGAGGACGAAGAGGAGGAGCAGGAGGAGGAGGAGGAATAGGAGGAGGAGGAGGAGGAGGAGGAGGAGGAGGAGGAGGAGGAGGAGGAGGAGGAGCAGGAGGAGCAGGAGGAGCAGGAGGAGCAGGAGGAGACGGAAATGGAGGAGGAGGAACAGGAGCAACAGAGGGAGAATGAGGTGGATGGGAAGACATCCGTGTTCTTCTCCCCGGGCTGCTCCATCGCGCCTCCGTTCCCAATGCGTTTTGCACATGGCCCGATCGAGCCTCCTCATCTCCCATGCTCCCCAATCAGGCGGCGCTCAAGCTGCTCGGCGACATGTGGAAAGCGAACCTGACGCCATCCATCCTGATCGCCTGACGGCAGCGCCCCATCACTTCGCAAGTGGACGTAGTCCACGGGTACACCCTAGTCTATACTATATGGCCGGAGGAACCGCGTGCCGGAAGGAAATCCACCCAAATGGCCGGAAACGGCTCCGAGACGCTCCGGAGGCCGCCCCGACGGCCCAAAGACTGTTCCGAACCGCTCAAAGACGGCTCCGAGCCGCTCAACAAGATGCCCCGAAGGCGGCCCAAGAGGGCCCCGAGACGCGCAATGATCCGGCCAAGACGCCCAACATTGGCCCAAGACGGCGCCAGAGCTCCCCAAGACGGCCCAATAGGCCTCCCAAGAGGCCTCCCGAGAGAGCCCCGAGAGGCCAACATCGTTGATGTTCATTGGTTTTTCCTAGGTTGTTTGCTTCCTCGCTTTCTCGGCTTCCCGACGTTCCGACACCCCCCCAGAGGCATCCAAGACCGCTCCAAGACGGTCGAAGAGGTCCCCAAGAGGACCCCAACACGGTCCAAGAGGACCCCAAGACGGCCCAAGGCAGCCCCAGGACGGCCCCAGAGGCGCCCAAGACAGGCCAACGGGACCCCGAGATGGCCCGAAGAGCGGCCCAAGATGGCTCCAAGACAGCCCGAGGACCGCCCAAGAAGGCCCTAGGGGGCCCCAAGACAGCCCAAGGAGCGCGATAGACGAGCCCAGAGAGGCCCGAGAGGCCCCCGGGAGCCCAAAAGAGGTCCCCAAGAGGTGCCACGGGGCTTAAAAACTGCTTCGGAGCGAGGGGGGCGGACGAGGGGACCGCCTCAGGAGGTTTTGGACGGTTTTGGGCTTCAAAATCATCCGCTTCACGACGGTTTTGGAAGGATTTTGGCCTTCTCGCCTTTTTCCGCTTTCCGACGCTCGAAGACGACCCAAGAGGCCTCCAAGAGCGCCCCAGAACGGCCCACGAGGTTTCCAACAGCGCCCCAAGACAGCCCAAGAGGGCCCCAAGACGACCCAAGAGACGCTCAAGACGGCCCACGACGGCCCGAAGACAGGCCCAAGAGGGGGCCAAGAGGGGGACCACGGACCGAAACTCCGAGCATTCCGCCCCAAGAGGGCGCCAGGAGGCCCAAACAGACCCCCACAAATTCGCTGGGCACCCCGCTCACCCGTAGCTGGGTTGCGTCTGCAACCACAGCGTTGGGTGCGCGCCGAAGCCTGCGCCGCGCCGAGAGGGCGCGGGCGCCACGAGGCCTCGGTGCTGGTCGCAGCACGACCGACCCAGCAACGGGCGAGAAACGGGGCGGGCACGGGCGGGTCAAATCCCGAGCGCGGGGCGCGCGCCCCAGGCACACACAAACCTGTGGTACCTGCGCGCGGCCGCGGCGGGCAGCGGCCGCGCGCGGGGGCGCGCGGGCCTGCCCACATCGCCTGCGGCGCGCCGCGGCGCGCGCGAGCCAAGCGGCGGCGCGGCGACTGCTCGCGCCTGCGTCCGCCGCGTGCGCCTGGGGCCAGCGAATGTGTGCGATGGAACCAGGGGCCGAACTCGTTCCATACACACAAATTCGCTGAGCACCCCGCTCACCCGTAGCTGGGTTGCGTCTGCAACCACAGCGTTGGGTGCGCGCCGAAGCCTGCGCCGCGCCGAGAGGGCGCGGGCGCCACGAGGCCTCGGTGCTGGTCGCAGCACGACCCAATGCAACGATGCGACCAGCGCCGTGCGCCGCTCACCCGTTGCGCACGCGGAGCGCGGCGCTCGGGCGCGCGCCGGGATGTCGCAGCCACGCTAGGTGTGTGAGCTGCTGTCAGAGCTGTCCGAGCAGTCGGACGCGGCGTTGCGCGCGGCCGCCACCCTCTCACTTTCGACCCGGACGCGGTCGATGTAAGCCAGGTAGGCGTTCGACGCCCAGCCTCCGCGTTCCTTCGTTACTGCGGTCGGTGCACCCGCGCGATCGATGTCATCGGCGTGCCCCCTTGTGCGCGCGAGAGGGGCGGAGGGATGTGCGCGCCGAGCCGCGCGGGCGGTCGCGGGCCGCGACCTTCGTATGTCGCGGGTGCCGAATAGGTTGGCACTGTCCACGCCTATCCTGGACAATAGGGACCGAAGGATACGGGCATCCGACCCTGAGAACTGCGCGAACGGCTGAGTGCCTACTGCTGTGCCGCGCAGCAACGGAGGCAGCGCGCGCACGGCGCGCGTCGCGGCGCGCGCGCGGCACCAACACCTCCGGCGGAGCATCGACGCGCACGGCTTGTTCTTCCGCCTTGGCAACCAGAGGAGTGCCTCGTCTGTCGATATGGCCAACTCCGCCTAGCGCGTTCGGCGCGTGCGCGGGTGCCCCAGCGCGCGCGTTTCCAGACGGCGCGGCCCGCCGTGCGGCCGCGCGACAGAGTGTTGCCGCACCACCGGATTGGCAAACACTCGGATGGTAGGTGAAGCAGGAATATGTACGTAATTAGAAAAATGGTGTATGCCACCTGCGCGACCGCTGGGCTGACTGGCGAATGCCGCGCGGCGGCCCCGCCTTTTCTTCTTCGCTGCGACCATGTAGGCCAAGTAATTGCGCAATCATAGCGTCACGAGCGAAGCGCGGTTCGCGTGGCGTGGGTCCGCCGCGCCGCGCAGTGGCTGCCTTGGCCTTCCTGGGCGCGCGACGCGCGGCCTCGCGCGCGCGGTGGCGCGGGGGGCCGACACCGGAGCAGCCGTCTGTTGCCGAAGGCGCTCGGGTCCAGGCGTAGCACTTCGCACGCTGTCTGCACGTGCTCGCAATAATTCCGGAACGTGCCCGCGCAAGAGAAAGTGCCCGACCAGCACAACAGATCGTCCTGGGCGCACGCCGCAGATTAGAGGAGTCTGCGGGCCGCGCAGGAGGGGTTGCGCGGATTGGTCGCGCCTCGCTGGGCGGCAGCGCGAGATGCCGGTCACGTCCGAGTACGTCTATCGCGAATTGAGCCAGCACCGCACACCGCTCTTCAAAGATTGGCGGGTGGATGGTATAGTGCTGACCAGGACCTCCAATCGGGCCCGTTCCGCCCATTCGCGCCGCTCCCCCTGCGAGGGCATGGGGCACGCAAGCCACTGCGCGTTGCGACGCGGCCCCCCTGGCACGGGTGGCGAGGGCGGTCTTGGCCGCGCCATCGCCCTTTCGAATGCAGGCGCTATCGCTGTCAGGCGCTCTGGAGAACGGCTCCGCGCATCCCCGCTACGCGCGGAAGAGGGTCCCGCGGCGCACAGGCGATCGAGCTCCGACAGTAGGGGTGCTGGCAGGACATGCAGGTCCGCGATGCACCTCAGATGCGCCCCGACGAGATCCTGGTGGGTCTCGAACCCTTGCTCCGCCAGTACGCTGGCCGCACGCGCGATATCAGAGGCATCCCCTGCGCGCCGGCGGGCGCGCGCGCGCACGCCGCGGGCGCGCCAGCCGAGCAACCTTTTATTCCGCACTGGTATAAATCGCGGGCGAGACGAACCGATGCGACACTGCCCGCGCGGCGAAGACGCCGACCCGCGCCCGCGCGCGCCGCTCGCCTAGAAAACGCTTCACGCCTCTTGATATGCCGGTCACCGCGTCGCGCCCAGGGGGCGGCCCCGGGGGCGGTCGGGCCAGC